CACTGAACTGAATTAAATATTTTGCTTGCCTTGAGTGATCGGTTAAATAAAGTGCCCAAGGGTGTAGAGGTTCACTGATCATAAGACATAAAAAAACAAACCAGAATTAATCATAAGTCTTTCAAAATAGAAGGAGGAATAAGAGAAACATACCAGAATCAATCAGATAATCAATCTTTCAAAATAGGAAGAGGAATAAGAAAAATTCATAGATCCATGTTCAAGTTTTGCACATGTTTCCTTTTATTGATTGCAAAGATTGCTGACATGACAAGCGAGAGTCTCTCTGCAGATGTGGCATCATTTCCTCACCAAAGTAAATATGTTGATTTATAGAAATCTGATAAATATACGGTGATTCGAATTTCAAATAGGCTCAAACCAATTTTAAAATTGCAAAAACAGGTTTTGGTAATCCGCTTTGGATGTCACCAGAACAGATGGATGGAACTCGGGCTGTAGAATTGTTTAGTCTATGTTGTGTGATATTCTATGTTTTAAGGAAATTTCCTGAAACTCATAATTAACCTGATCTTTAAATTACTAAAGAAGCATCATCATTTACGGTAGTATCATATTCTTCTTCTGTAATGATATATAATTAACTCAACAAGATTAATCATCTCTAATGCATTGTTTTCACAATTGTAGTCCTACTGCAGTTGAAGCGCTTCGGCATTCAATGTTCTGGGACTGGAAAACCAGGACGTGTTTCTTGCAGAATGCATGTGGAGCTAATGGAGGTCTACACAGGCTTGTCAAGGAGTTGCAAGGAAGACCCATACATAAAAAGATCTTTTGAATTATATCATCTAGAGAAAGAACTCATTTCGGAATCTTATATGTTCTACTGCTTAGTTTTGTGCTTGAACCGACCCTAGTAAAACCTTTTATTTTTTTGTTTTGTTTTAAATAGCGCTTTCTGTAGAAATGCAGAACTAACACGTGCAAGTGAGTCCCTTACAAATATTGCATTCAAGTATACTTATGACTCATACGGTTTACAAGGGGAAAAAGACACGTATCATTCTGATACAAGTTAGATTCTAGATTGGGACTACAAAGAAGCTTCTTAAAGACAAAATACAAATGATTCAACCTGGTTGGTTTCCGTGGTGCTCAAGTCAAAATGATTCAACCCATTAGAAATTTCACTATATAATAAAACACCTAATAATTCAAGCAACCAACCATGATCTTACATCCAAATTACAAGAATCGTCACTTTCTTCATATCTGCTTTAGCTTCCAACAACACATTTTCCACCCTCTCAAAATTTTACTTCTCTTATTCATCTTAATTTTAATGATACAAAGGTATTTCTAGCAAATCAATAATCTTATCTCAACGTTAATCAAATGGAACTTTATCACAATCTTTCTATTCATATCTAAATCATTACATCTTTATCACGATAGGATCTCTATGAGAATATATTTCACTTCATAGATGGGTGACCTATC